TCTTTCTTGCTCTGCTCGCAAGACATTTTACAACATTCCTTTTATATTTAATGCGCACGTAACTAAGGAAGTGTGTGTATTGCCCTGTGAAAGTGCTTTTTCTATACACGCTTCTCCCGAGTGACCCATCTTCTCTCTTACTTAGCAAGACATCCAGGAAATGTAGTTTATTGTCCTGCTCCTCTTCACAAGTAAAGGTAAGCGAAGGGTGGATGTTGTTGAATTTCAGCAACAATTCGTCTATATTAACATTCTCATCAGCTAAGATAAATGTATCATCGACATATCGGTAATACATATCAAACTGCTTGATGATGTCCTTCAATTTCCCGTTTTCAGGTTTTGCGAGAAAGAAGTCAGCTAACATTGGGCCTAATGGTGAACCCATAGCTTGTCGATAGTTTGTTATTACTCTTAACCTACCTTGGTAATCCTTATTTGATTGGAGTACGAAACGTTTGTGTTAATTATTCTTAATTCTTTTTTTGTCACTTTGTTTAATTTAACTTTTCCATATATATTGACTTGACAAGTAAATGTGTGATCAGATTGTTCGAAATGTATAGCGCAAATACATCAGATAATCTCCGTCTTCTAATAAAGCTATCAAAATTTATAAAAGGGACTAACTGTTTTAAAACCCAGATCATCCAGTGTACATCTAGCCTGTCTTCCAAATGACAATTTCATTTGAACAAATGCAACTTCTCCTTCATCAACAACAGCAGCAGTTTGAAGCTTGCCAGCTCAGCTTGATTGAAAAACTTACAAAGCAGTTTTCAATTCAAAATCTCGGCAGTTCCAACTCAGAGAAAACCGAACCTATTAGGAGTTCAATTTCGAACCTTCAACAGGCGTGACGTTTGAAGCTTGGTTTCGACGTTATGAAGATCTGTTCCGGGTTGAATGCGCTCACCTAGATGATTCGGCCAAAGTGAGACTACTCCTTCGGAAACTTGGTCCAGCCGAACATAACAAATATGTCAATCATATTCTACCAAAGAACTCCAGAGAACTCAACTTTGAAGAAACCGTTCAAACGTTAACCAATATTTTCGGTGAACAGTTATCTCTCTTCAGTATCCGTTACAATTGTTTCAAGATATCCAAAGATCCAGGAGATGATATTCTCACCTATGCTGGTAAGGTGAATCGTGAATGCGAGCGATCGAAAATTCGATCACTTACGGATGACCAGTTTAAATGCCTGATCTTTGTCTGCGGTCTCAAATCTTCAGTTGACAGTGATATTCGTACCCGAATCCTTGCAGAGATTGAACGTAAACTGGACATGACTTTACAGGAGGTAACTGCTGAGTGCCAGCGAATCATCAATCTAAAGCATGACACGAAGTTGATTGAGGATGGTCAAGTTCATGAATTTACTTCTGTTCAGGCTGTCAAGTCAAACAATTCTCTGCAAGTCAAACACAAGCCTTCCACAAATTGTTGGTTTTGTGGATCGTGGCATTTTGGTAAATTTTGCCCGTATAAAAGACATAAATGCAGTATCTGTAACAAGTATGGTCACAAGGAAGGATTTTGTCTCCCAGTGAAACCTAGATCAATCCGATCTCACAGTACGATGGCACAGTCACGAAAGTTTCGATCTCCGTTGACGAAACCTCAAATCAGCAGTATGTTCGCTACCTTCAAAGTTGACTTCGAGTCAAAAAGAAAGTTTGTCACACTTTCTATCAACCAGAAGCCAGTTCGACTACAGTTAGATACTGCTTCTGATATCACAATCATATCTCTCCAGACGTGGCGGGCACTCGGGTGTCCAGAGAACGGAGCATACTGCAAGAAACGCGTCGGGTGACGTAATGAAATTATCTGGCCAGATTGAATGCGACGTAACTTTCCGGTCGACCTCGTTCCAAGGAACATGCTACATCACCAATCGTCATGATTTGAACTTGCTTGGTATTGACTGGATCGAAAAGATGAAACTCTGGGATGTCCCACTGAACTCAGTTTGTTCCAATGTACAGTGCTCAGATAGTCCTACCAACATGTTGATGCATCCGATCTCGACCGCAAAGTTCATCAGTCATCTTCGCACCAAACACGCTGCCGTTTTTCAAGAGTCTTTGGGTTGCTGTACCGTACAAAAAGCCAGACTATACCTCAAACCTGATGCCAAACCAGTTTTTAGACCGAAACGCCCAGTACCGTATGCCGCATTATCGTCCCTTGATGCAGAGCTGGATCGTTTAGAAAAGTTGAACGTAATCAAGCCAGTCGATTACTCATCCTGGGCAGCCCCCATAGTGGTTGTCAAGAAAGCAAACGGTACCATCAGACTTTGTGCTGATTTCTCAACAGGACTCAATAATGCCCTTGAAGATCAACCGTATCCACTACCAGTACCGCAAGATCTATTTGTCAAACTGAATGGCGGTAAATACTTCAGTAAACTTGATCTAGCTGAGGCATACCTACAGATCGAGGTCGAAGATGATTCTAAAGAGCTTCTGACAATCAACACTCACAAAGGACTGTATCAGTTCCAGCGACTTCCATATGGTGTTAAACCTGCTCCTGCTATATTCCAACAGATAATGGATGCAATATTAGCTGGTGTATCGGGAGTGGCCGTTTACCTCGATGATATCATAGTCACAGGAGAAACTCAATTCGAACTCTTCAATCGGTTGGATAAAGTCCTGACAATACTCAGTGATTCCGGTTTCCATTTACGTCCGGATAAGTGCAATTTTTTCATGACTTCAGTGAAGTACCTGGGATTCATTTTTGACAAAGATGGTCGCAAACCCGACCCCTCCAGTGTGTCAGCAATTCAACAGATGCCTGCCCCTAATAATCTCAGTACGTTGCAGTCCTTCCTGGGGATGGTCAGTTACTATAGTGCGTTCCTGCCAGATTTACATCGTCTCAGGGCCCCAATGAATCAGTTGTTCATGAAGAATGCTAAATGGAACTGGTCAGAAGAATGCCAACAAGCTTTCATCAAGGTCAAGAAATTACTCCAGTCTGACCTGCTGTTAACACATTACAATCCAGAGCTGGATATAACATTAGCTGCAGATGCGTCCAACTATGGTATTGGCGCTGTCATTTCACATGTGTTTCCAGACGGTGTTGAAAAGCCAATAGCATATGCATCGCGAACCTTGACAAAGGTAGAGCAGAATTGCAGTCAGGTCGAAAAGGAAGGATTAGCGCTGGTGTTTGGGATGTTATTCAAGTGAAAGCAGTCACGTGAACTCTGTGATTAGACTTGTGTTATTATATGACCCAGTTGATTATACTCAGTGAGCCCACTGTCCCCCTAGGTCTTACCATTTCGGAAAGGTCATTTGAATAGTAATAAGATGAAAACAACTGTCTTGCGGTGTGTTTGGTCTACGTTATACTAGGGATTTAAGGATAGAGTTGTGCTATCATCTGCAAGGATTGTTACAGTAGCCGTTTTTCCCACAGGGAGCATCGGCGATTCACATCATCTGTTTTTTGATTCGGGGTAGAATAGATGTTTGAAATGCTGTTCTCGTATATTGTTCACCACGAATCACCCTATGACATTCCATCTGGAGGTGTAACGTTTTCGTAAGGGCAACTCTTTTAATTCTGTAATTCATTAAATCAGGTTATCTGTTTATTGCCGTTTTCATTTTATTTATTTGGATGCTAACTTTTATCTTCGAGATAAGTAATCATGTGTGTTGAGTATTAAGCTGAATAGTTCTACCAAAGTTTTTGAATTTATCACAATTGCTGTTTGTTCTATGTATTTAATCAAGTAGTCCATAGGCTCAAACTCTGTTCAACATATCAAAGTTTCTGTATGCAAGTAATATAACCAGCTGTCATACCGTAGATGTGATTCATTGCTAAGTGCATTAACAATAAAAAAGTTTTTGAATGACGTTAAGCTTATTTACAAACATCTGCGAAAATTATACTTTAAGCAGGTTGTATGTGATTGGTCTAGATCATATATCCCGTGAACTCACAAAGTACATTAGTTAAAAAGTCACATTTCATAAATCACTCATAAAGGTAAAGAAAGGGAATGCAATGAAACTGCAAATACACGAAAATGTGCAGAGAAAAAATAATTACATGAAGTACAGAATGAGGAATTTGGGAATGCAGAGGATGATAAGGAGTAAATACATCTGTGTCATTATGACCAAAGGTGGTCAGCCAGCATCATAACAAAAACTTTTAAAAAATAAAACAAATTCGTTTTATTCCGCTTGAAGGGATACTACCCCAAACTCAGGGTCCAGAAAGTCGGAAAAACGCAAATTGGTGTACCGACAATCTGAGATGACTACTGGATGCAAGATAACAGCATTATGGCTTGAAACCACGGGTCTTAAGCTTGTTTAGGACTATTGGCACCCAGCTGGGCTACCTTGCTTGCTACTGGTAAATCCTATAGTAACTATGGGTTGTACCAATCTCGTTTCCAGTAGTCTTAGCAGACGTATCGAAGCTATTCATATACTAAATTGGTTGGCAGGGATAAAGATAGTACGTCAACGGTTCAATGATAGAATGCTCAGCACCCAAGCGTGTGACCCGGGTTCCATTCCCGGTCGACACACTCCTACAATTCATCTTGCCGGTAGCAAGCTCATGAGAGAGGGGAGGATGGGCGTGAGGTTGGCAATTCCAGCCCCTAGAACACAATACCACCAATACTGAAATTTAAAGCTTATGCCTGGAGCCTTGTGTTCCGAGTGGAACACAAAGGAATGAAAAGATATTTGTATACTCTTTCTATCAAAATTATTCGAATAAATTTGCGCATACAAATGAATCATTCAAATAAAAGTTAAAAACTGATATAAGTATAAAACTTGGGCACTGTGGTAGAGCATAACTCCATTATGGATAAGATTTAAATTTTGATAAATCACACAGTGTTGTACAGTAATATTAACTGATGACGTTTCGAGCATAAACTATTGCTCATAATCATATCAAGTTAAAAACACCTGAAATATGATGCATAAAAAACATACCATTCATTAACGTCGTCGCATTTATATCCGGCTAGTTTGCGACTTTCTGGTCTCAAATGTCGAAGAACGGAAAATTCATAGTATTGATAACCTCTGAAACTTTCTGCCACTGCCACCATCATACTGAAAAACATTTTTTACAAAAAGCAGTAAAATGAAGGTATATATATATACATATTCTCCTATCTAGACAGGTACTAAATATGCTCAGTGTGTCTTCGTAGATAACACATCTGCCGTTGACACTTTACCTAGGACTCTTTTGTTAAACAAGCTTCCTGCAACTCAAACGGGGTGCTAGATTAATAAATAGTTGCATTGGTATTTTTCTGATAGAGAGAAGCACACTGTTTACAAAGTCTTTCCCTGCTATACTCACAGTAGTCAGTGTCGCTCAAGGTGCTGTTTTTTCTCCTTTTTTGTTTTCTCTCTTCTTACATGACTTGCCTCGTTCTAATGAAACCAATTTTATTACGTATACCGATGATCTGACTGTTCCCATACTGGTTACATCTCAATCACATTGTTCCAAAATGAATAACTTCTTATCATAAATTAGTCGGTGGTCCTTGTAGAATGCGCTTAAGCTAAATTCCTCCAAGTGTCAGATTGTTAATTTCACTCTCAGGAACACGTGATTTACATAGACCGGTTCGTTTCTATGACTCTTGTATCATAGAAGGTACTAGAGTTGAAACTGAGTCAAATGTTAGGTATCTTGGGACTGCATCTTTCCTAGTCTTCCCATATCATACTGATTTCTATAAAGATATTTTCTCGAACCTTTTACGTAAGGATGTTAAGATAATCTGTATCAATTAGTCTACACTTCCACAGTTTGTTAACTCTTCTATCCTATCTATTCTTCTGTATTGCTCAACCTTAACGTTTCCTGGGCTACTTAAGAAAGATTTGGTTGTGTTTTCTGAGCTGGTTGAATTAACTGAGAAGCTTTCGTTGCCCTTCTAGACAGTATCTTCAGAGCAGGCTCTACTACTTAAGAAAAACTTTGTTACACTGCTAATGGCACTGAATACTACCGGTATGGGGAGTGGGGGTGTTGTTAAACCAACTCGTTAATACTGTTCTTGATAGACACTTGAACTCATGCAAGAAATTTGCTGATATCATCTTGTGGGACTCTGACCCCACCTTATACACAATTGTCCCCTTGCATCTCACCAGGTAGGGCTAGCAGCAATTTTAACTATTATACACGAACGACTACGTGTAAAAACTTCATGTCACCTTATTCAACAAGCAATTTATGCGATGAGAAAAGTTGGGCATGCAACTACTGACTTATTGTGAAACACTAAGCAAACAGTCATTTTCATTCTATCATATTAATTATTATATGCACGAAAACAAAGACTTACTGGGATGTCTTCTCTAAAAAGGCTAATAATGTGTTCTGATAACCAACAAGCACATGACTCAACATATTGCATCGACTGGCTGCCAATAAATCAACCTTCTGCATACTATCAACCTTAAGACGATCAAATGACGCTTTCGCTTTACGGACCTAAATTATTTATAATTTATACAAAATAGAAACAAATAATGCACATTTGTAACACATTGAAAAATACTCAATTTTGGCGAACACAAAGCTTGAATAATCTAATATATTCAAAGCAACATAAAATTGGAAAGCCAATCACCCAGTATAAAGTCGCCTAATTAACTAGCTTGCTAGCCGGTCCCAAGCCCGGGTAAAGAGGGAGGGTTGGGCGTGGGGCTGGCAACCATACACTACTAAACCTATCTAACTGCTAGAGAAACTTCGACGCATAAAAATATATTAAAAACACCAAAAATCCATATAACAATCTTATTCTCCGCTGAAATCGGAGAGGCGAAATGACGCGGGCTGGTGAAAGTCTTTGGGAAGCCAGTCAGCCAGCCAATGTGTCTTCTCTCGATGAAAGCAAGAATAAGAATCGGAACGTGGAATGTCCGTACAATGTACGAGACAGGGAAAGCTGCCCAGGTAGCCAAAGAAATGAGAAGATATGGCATAGAAGTGCTGGGTACTTGCGAAAGCAGGTGGAACGCATGTGGATTGTCCCAATTGTCAACTAGAGAGTCAGTCATCTACTCCGGCCACCCAGACGACAACCACGAGCACACTGAGGCAGTGAGTGACTATAAAGATGTTACCAGTGGCAACCATAGCCCTAATGTATTGGGAAACAATATCATCCAGGATCATGACAGCAAGATTCAACTCAAAAGGAAGGAAGGTTACGATTATCCAATGATATGCACAACATACAAACAACGCGGAACAGGAGAAGAGGGAAGATTTTTATAGACAACTACAAACAGTAATGGACAACATCCCAAATGGTGACAACAAAATCCTCAAGGGTGATATGAATGCAAGCCAAACTGGGAGCAGATAACACAGGAAGACAATTCACCATGGGTCAAGAGGCTCTCGGAGAAATGAATAACAACGGAGGATTATTCGCAGACTTTTGTTCTTTAAATGATTTGGTGATTGGAGGCAGCGTGTACAACCACAAGGATATACATAAAGCAACATGGATATCACCTGACGGACATACCACAAACCAAATAGATGTCATATCAATGCTATTCAAGGAAGTGGAGACGCAGCCTGCTGGACACAAAGTCGAGAAGGGGAGCAGATGTGGACTCAGACCATCATCTAGTTCAAGGAACCTTCAAGGCGAAGCTGAAGTCCATGAAAACAAATGGGGACAGGCCACCACTCAAGTTCAACATTCAGAAACGGAAGGACAAAACTATAAGGGTTGCCTTCACCACAGATATCAGAGTAAAGCCGGATACACTACGTGATATCACTGAGGAAACCTGTGTGGAAGAAAATTGAAACACTCTGAAGGTGATGTTCAAGGAAACGTGTACAACTGTTCTAGGAAGAAGGAAGAGACAAGACAAAAAGTGACTCTCAACAGATACCTGGAAGCTAACAGAAGAGAGGAGGATGGTGAAAGAGATGACTCACTGCAGAGATGGACAACAGAAGGCGAAGCTGAGTTCAATGTACACTGCACTGAATAAAGAAGTGAAGAAGAATGCTGGGAAATACAAACGACAATTCTACGACACCAGAAATATGGAAGATATTATTACCGCCAGTCAAATCAGAAGAAGATAAATAGTCTTAAAATTCTGTTTCCATTCAAGCACATCATAACATTCTAACAATCAACTTATTATGACTATAAAAACACTCGTCGTAATTCCCATCTAATTGCAATGGATTAATAACACTCGTACTATTATTTCTGAATGTACATTATCTCATATTGAATTTTATTCCAATATCTAGTCGATTCCACACATGTATATAAATGAAGGAAAGAAGTTGTGTGAGTAACTTGATATGATTATGAGCAATAGTTTGTGCTCGAAACGTCATCAGTTAATATAACTGTACTACACTGTGTGATTTATCAAAATAAATTCTTATCCATTATGGAATTATACTCTACCACAGTGCCCAAGTTTTATACTTATATCAATTCTACGACACACTGGCCGGCCACTGAAGCAGAACAGACTACAGGCAAAACGGACATTAGGACACTATACCAGATAACCAATTCTCTATCGGGGAAGAGATCAACCCAGATGATGAAACCAATAAAAGATGCTCAAGGGAATGTGATCACCAAGGAGGAGAAACAAATAAAACAATGGGCTGATAACCTCAAAGTACTATTGGATCGACCATCACCTGTAACTCTCCCGGAAATACTACCAACAGCAAGCACGGAACTGCCAGTGGACACCGATCTTCCAACGACATCAGAAATCCTTAATACGATCAAGCTATTGAAGGCTGGGAAGGCAGCAGGACCAGACGGAATTCCCCCTGAGGCACTGAAAACAGACCCAGAGACTGCGGCAGATGTTCTCACGCCATTATTACGAAAGGTTTGGAAAGAATGAAAGGTACCCACCGATTGTAAGATTTTTATTTATTTATTTAAACGCATTAAAACTTGGTACAATATGGCACCAAGAAGGATGCGCCACACAATAATAATAAAACAACATAGATGAAAAAAAAGGAAGGCAGGAAAAGAAAAAATATATATAAGTAGGGAACGAATAATGAACTTCATCTGGAAGGAAAACACTCATTCTTAACAGGTTCAAACAGTGTTCGTTAACTATCATCGGGAATGGAAGAAAGAAGGAAATCGCAACACATTCGGCATTGATTACGATTCTTCACCATATCCGATAACGTTTCGAGCCATCGATTTGAGCTATCTCTCAGACCCCAACCAGGGAGTCGTGACACACCAACCGATGCTAATCTAGCACAAATATCCTTCATCCCACGACGCCACGTCATGGGCTGACCACCTCTCCGCCTTTTCCAACCCGTCCCAGGGCTAGCGAACAGAGACCTGTACGGAAGCCTCTGGGGTGACATTCGCAGCACATGTCCAAGCCACCGGAGCCGGTGTTTCCAGATGACGACATTCAATGCATGGTGATCTCCACTGTGTTCAAACACACGCCGCCGAACCTCAGAATTACTCACGCGATGATGCCATCGAACGCAAGCAATCCTGCGGAGACAGCGGTGATCGAACACGCAGAGTCGCCTCACATCCTCAGCTCGGAGAGGCCAGGTTTCACAGGCGTAGAGCAGCGCAGCCCGCACCGAAGCATTGTATACCCGACCTTTGACAGCCAGGCTAACGTCGCGACGGCGCCAGAGGTGGCTCAAGTTGATGTATGCCACCCTAGCTTTCATTATACGGTTGGAAATCTCATCCGTCACTCCTCCGCCAGCACTCACACAACTACCTAGGTACACAAACTTATCGACAACTTCAAGCGGTTCACCCGCAAGAGTGAGTGCAGGTACAGGCTCCTGCCAATCTTGTAACAGTACTTTGCACTTAGACGGCGCAAAGCACATACCATACTTACAGACACTGATCGCCAACTGATTAAGTGCGATTTGGGCAGCCTGCATGCTATCGCACAGTAAGACGATATCGTCTGCATACTCGAGGTCGAAAAGTCTATCTCCAGGTAGCAGATCTACACCACCTTCACGCACATCCTTCAGAGCTGACTCCAGAATGTCATCGATGGCAAAGTTAAAGAGAAATGGTGAAATTGGGCAACCCTGTCTAACCCCACTGTTGGTTGGGAACAGTGGTGATAGTTGGTTGTATGCCCTCACTCTACCTGAGGTGTTTCTGTATAGGGCTTTCAAGATGTTAACAAATTTCTCAGGTACACCTCTCTCTAACAGACAGTTCCAGAGCACAGTTCTGTCCAACGAATCGAAGGCAGCCCTAATATCAAGAAACACAACGATCGTTGGCCTGCAATACGTGTGGCGGTGTTCCAACAACTGACGAAGGGTGAACACATGATCAATGCATCCACGACCTGAACGAAACCCAGTCTGCTCTTCGCGTATTTTGCACAGTCTGCGAAGCATGACAGCAGCCAATATTTTAGACGCAACTGGTAACAGACTGATACCCCTATGGTTGTCACACGAATTACGTCGACCCTTTTTAAAGATGGGGACGATAATGGCTTCGTTCCACATTGATGGTACGCTCTCTGTCTCCCACACCCTCCTGAACAACCCAGTTAGAGCCATTATGAGAGTCTAGCCACCATCTTTAAAAAGAGCCAGGGGGAATTTGTCTGGGCCGGGCGCCTTATGGCGTTTCAGAACTTGGAGTTCCTTACGGACCTCCGCTTCGGTGGGTGGGTCGGTACTAACCGACCAAGGAGCACTCGGGCTAATGATAGTAGACAATGAAGCTGGTGGCCAGCTGAACTGCTTCCCGAAGTGCTCTGCCCAGCGTTCCAGGCGTCTCTTCAGGCTGGTAATTGGAGTGCCATCTGCCTCACAGACCGTCTCGCTGACACCTTGTTTCTTGCTTCCTGTGACTCGGATGAGTTGGAACAGCTTCCGACTGTTGCCAGATGCAGCAGCTGACTCCATCTCACATGCACATTCTAACCACCAGGCTTCCCGGTCCTTACGTAAACACTGTCTAATCTTGCGCGTCAGCGCCTTTCGCTGATTGTTGTATTCACTGCCAGCCGGAATGGACCGGCGTTCATTCATGAGTTGCAAGGAACTCGCAGAAACCCAGTGGTTGTTAGCGGAGCATTCTTTCAAGCCGCAAGCGGCTACACTCGCCTTTTGCATGGCACCTTGCACATGAAGCCAGTGTTCATCTATACTACTTGGGGGGTTGCTGGCAAGCATTGTTTTCAACTCGTTCTGATATTTCAAAGAAGTAGCATGTGCTACTAGTTTGCTCACATCAACGCTTAGACGACGGTTTTTACGAACCCCACCAAATCGCAAGACGAACTTGGCACACACTAACGCATGATCGGAGTCCAGGCATGTGCTCCAGAAGGAGCGACAGTCTTGTATGCATCTTCGCCACCGGAAACTGACCGCAATATGATCAATCTGAGTCCAAGCTTGCTTCGCAGAGGGAGGACGCCAGGTAGCGCTACGGCGATGGCTGTGCCGGAAGTTGGTGCTGACTATAAATAGGTTGTGATCCGCGCAACGCTGCATTATCTGACCTGCGACCATGTAGTCCCCACTGACCACCTAGACGACTCTCCTCTGAGCCCGACCTGTGCGTTCAAGTCCCCAGCTAGCACTACAATATCCCTCCGACCCGCCTGTTTCAACAGATCGCTCAGTTGGTAGTAAAACTCATCCTTCATTGCATCCGGGCTGCAATCCGTCGGTGCATAGGCAGAGACAACAAATAGACACCGCCGATCTGGCCTACTACTCCTTACTTTCGTATATCCTTCCAGCCTCACAGCACATAAACGACTGTTAATGGGAATCCAGTCGAGCAGTGCAGCTTCGGCACTAGCGCTCAGTGCGACACCGACACCAGCTACGCCGGATGCTGATGCCACAGGGTCCCCGGATAAGCGCAGGTGGTACATACTACTAGAACTTCCAGATGGAAAGGACAGTCGAAGCACTTCACTGGGATCTTGAATGCGGGTCTCCGAAATGCAGCAGATATCGAAAGCGAGGCTTTCCAAAGTTCTTGCCAACCCTGCCTGTTGTCCGATTTGCATCAGCGTCCGAACATTGTAGGTAGCCAGCTTGAACGCAGCACGCGGTTTCAGGATATCTGTGTTAGAAGTCACATTGGGAACAACCATTTTGAGGACTACTCACTAACATCTCGAAACGACACGGATAGGCTGGGAATCTCGACAAAGGCGAAAGGCTGTCGAAGATTAAGAAGCCAAGGTTAGAAAAGGTAAAATACAGGAAACTATGTGTAAAAATAAAAGTAAGATAGGAAGGAAATAAGTTGCTTGAGGGATCAGTATTGCTTGGAATCATTTTTAATAGCGCGCGTTGAGTTTCAATGAGAGTTCGTTGTTTCAATTCATTCATTGTGTGCGGGCTGAGATACTGCCCGGGCGCCCAGACCGAAGCAGGTGGTTTTATTAAGGGACCACCCCCTGAGCCTTTGACTTGGAGTCTAATCCGCAAGGCAGATTGTAAGAAAGGCTACCTTGTCAAACTACCAAAGAAGGGCGACTTAGGCCTATGCAAGAACTGGTGTGGGATCATGCTCTTGTCCACGCCAAGTGAAATACTACGTCGCGTCATCCTGGAGAGAATAAAAGATGCACTGGATGCAGAACTCCACCAGCCCGGAACAAACTGGATTCAGGAAAGGTGAATTATGTGCTGATCAAATTGCAACTCTACACATCGTCACCGAACAAAGCATAGAACGGCAGTCAAACCTCTACCTCAACTTCCTTCATCGACTTCGAAGAGGCCTTCGAAAGATAGCGTTGACCGAGAAGTAATTAATTCAACACGACGATGTGCAGTACTCAAAGTTTTATCAGCCTCATTCAACAGCTGGCTATATAACAATGCCTGCCACGTGTCAATTGATCCACAACGGGAAACTCAGCAAGGCGTTCGAAGTGCATACAGGAGTAAGACAGGGATGCCTATTATCACCGATGATATTCTTAATTGTGGTGGACAGGATTATGAGTCAGACTGTGGGGAGCGAGGAGACAGGAATACGCTGGACCACCGATAACAAGACTCTAGACGATCTTGATTTCGCAGATGATATATGTAGTGACACACAAACTCGAAAACTTGTAGGCGAAAATCAACAAACTGGCTGAAGAAACGGGCAGCGAAAGTAGGACTCCAGGTGAACATAGAGAAGACGGAGATGATGACGATAACCAACGAGCAGCAACAACAACCAGCACCAATTACCATCAACGGTAGAGATTTAACAGACGTTACCTCTTTCACTTATCTAAGAAGCATCGTTTCAACTACAGGCGGAACGGATGAAGATTTCAAAGCCAGCCAGAATCGGAGAGGCAAGATACACCTTCATCAACCTGAAGCCAGTTTGGAAATCTGTACTCAGCATAAGGAAGAAGATCCGGATTTTCAACACCAATGTCAAGTCAGTCCTTCTATACGGGTCAGAAATTTGCACTGCGTGTCACGAAAAGGATTTCCAACAGGTTGCAGACTTTCATCAACAGCTGCCTTCGCTCCATATTGACGATCAAATGGCCGACGAGAAAAAATTAGAAACAAGAAACTCTGAGGGGTGACGAACTAACCAAGAGCCGATTGCTCAATAAATATGTAGGAGAAAGTGGAGATGGGTCGGTCATACATTAAGGAAACCATCGAATGACATCGCGTGCCAGGACCTCGAGTGGAATCCATATGAGGAACGACGAGTGGGTCGTCAGTGTGGGGTAACATGGAGGATATCGTGCGAAGAGGAGATGAGAGATTATGGTCAATCGTGGACCTGGCTGAAGAGGGCGGCAGAAAACAGAACAAAGTGGAGATGTGTTGTTGAAGCCCTATTTTCCACTCGGAAACCAAGGGAATAATAATAATTTAAATTTTCAACGCTAATGTCAAATCAACCAGTGAATCTATATGATTCAGAAAGTTTGTTTGCGCGTCAAGAAAAGCATTTCCAAAAGTCTGATGCAGACTTTCAACAACAGCTGTTTTCATTCCACACGGTAGACTGCCAGAAACGATTAACAGTAAGGAACTCTGACAGGCCATGAACCAACTAACAACCTATTACCCAAAAATTATGTCAAAGAAAGTGGAGGTGAATCGAACTCGGTGTACTGAGAAGCCGCTGGGTGACGTCACACCCAACTCCTCTAGTGGAACCAGAAGCACAAACAACGACTTGGGCATGTGTCCGACAGTGACATGGAGATCGTCCCAAGAGGGGATGAAAGCATACTGTCAATCGTGGAACTAGTTAAAGCGGACTACCGAGAGGGGAGTGAAATGGGAATGTCTTTGTGAATCCCTATGTTAAACGTGGAACCTAAGATAATAATAATTCAACAACTGATTTAATTAAAATATGGACGAATTTGTGTAAAGCTAATGCTATTTCACCAAAAACCTATAAATCCTTGACCGTTCACATACATGTTATTCTACAGTCCAGAACTTTGGTACCTAAATAGGAATCAGAGATGAATACAAATTGTGCTATTACATCACTATTTATTTATTTTCCGGACCCCTAAAGGAACATAGGGCTTCAGCCGCACTTATCAATTGCATTCAGTTGTCCTTAAGACTATCCATACTTTTACCTGAAATTCCATCTTTGCTGCCTCTTCTGCCAACTCATTGGTTTCCATTTGTATATCTTCCAGTTTGTGTGTGACAAGGGACGTAAATAGTCCACGAAGTTCAGATCTCCTAGAGTCTTCTTGTTGGTCCTAGGCATTCCTGTTTTATTGTTCCCCACAGTCTGTTGCATGATCCAGTCTACCACGAGCACAAATAACATCGGTGGTAGCAGACAACCTTTCTCTACTCCTGTCTTCCCTACAAATGCCATGGTGAGCTTTCTACTGTGGATCACTGGACACTGGCATCATCATATAGCTGTTGCGCGAGGTTTATTAGAGGCTTTTGGTACAGATTACAATATTATTGACTTCTGTTACTTTTGATTCGAATCAATTACTCTGCGTCATGGAGAAAAAGTTCAAATATTTTATTAATTTGTAACTAATTAATTAAAACATCCTGTACTAAATCCCATGTGACAACTGTGGGGTTAATTACATAGGTCAGACTAATAGACCTCGGATCAGTTAGATAAGGACATAGGAATTTAGGCATAACTAGGATGACTTACTCCCCCCACTCCACTAAGTTAAGTATTCTAAAAAAGCTCGGAAATTACAATGCATTAAATTCCATGTGATGATACACACAATAGAATGGGATATAGTACTAAAAGGTAATATAACTAGGTGGAGAGAGTGAATGCCTAATCACCATGCATGTGCAATCGAAATGAAGCAACATATATCTCGGATATGCGGCAAGTTGCAATAAAAAACAGGAGGGTTAAATAAAGCCAATTAGGAATCCATGGTTATGAGCAATAAATTGTGATCGAAATGTCATCCAACTATTAACACTTTATCACTGTGCGCTATGCCAAATAAACTTATCTAGTATAGAGTTAAGTGTCAATGGAATTATATCCTAGATGAGAATTCTGACTATTTTAAGGTAACTTCCTTAAATATAGAAATGACGTATGTGGAGTTTATATGAAACCAAATTAGATTAACTTGTTGTTATTTTTATTTACCTGTGCTTGTACACATCGGAACTTCTCTAATTGTTTATAAGTATCTGGATCCAATTCACTGCTTACATTCTTCATCCATAATAGCGCACCACGATATTCAGTACGACCATGTTCCATACGTTTGACTGTATTTAATGTATCCGTAATTGCACGTTGTCTGAATGTCTTTACCTCTTGATGAACACGGTCAAGAGGATTGAGTAGAGCAAGCCTAAGTAAGTATAAATCCACAGAAATGTTAATGAATTTAAGGATTAATATTATGAGAGGACATTAACTTTCATATTTACCCTGACTTTACAAATGAATCAAATGTAAATAGAAAGCGTGACAACGATTGAATTACTTTTTTCAGGGTAGTAATATAAGCTGCCTAAATGTTGTACTAAGGGAAGTCATCATTATTCTTTGGGATTGGGCTAACTAGTAACTACAACACATGTGGAGTACGTAACCATATGAATGTACACTTTTTGGTTAGATGTTGAAATTAGAAACATTGTACATGACTCTTGTTTAAAACGATTTATGTTTAAATACATATAACTTCCGAGTGCAATTTGAAATATACTATACTGTTGGTAGCTTCGCCTTCTCTCCGGCAATTTCTGTCTACTCGCTCCACTCAAACCGTGTTGTATACTTTGGATTTATTGCAGGAACATATTATCCTTATCCGAAGACAACTCTACAACCGGAACACAGCTTCTATCAGTAGACACGATTCCAAAAGTCAACGCTCCTGTGGATTATATAAATAATTTGTAGCAGTGGACTTAAACAACGTATCCAAGTAACCCATTAATTAATATAACTCATTACTGCATTTTGATAATATATCGTTGCAGTGTACTCTCAATGACTTGGATTTTTATTCGCATATTTGTTATGTTAATGAACTTGCTCTAGACAGTCCCCTACACACATACCACAGTTTAGTAATCGTACCACTATTGTTTAAACATAAACCTGGTATAATATAGAAACCAAGAGATGCACCATACAAAAATAATACAACAACAATGCAAGGAAAATGGAATGGAATAGATAAGGAACAGCATCAAACATATGCATCATAAGCATTCAAAGGGTGATTTACTACTTTGCTACTTTCAGAAAGGGAAGAAATATCAGCACGTTCGCCACTGATGAGAATTATCTCTCGGATTTCACCCAGGGAGTCATGGTGCACTGACAGATGCCAACCTAACACAACTATTCTTTGTCCCACAGCGCCGCATCGTCGATTGACTATTGCTCTGCTTTTCCACCTAGTCACACGACTAACAAACAGAGGACGGTATGAGAGCTGCTGGGATGACATTCGTAGCACATGTCTAAGCTACTGAAGACGTTGTTTTAAGATGATAACACTTGATAACAAACAGTCTCCATTGTGTCAGAATGGAGACTTTTCTCAACACTTTGGGTAGAAATCTTATCATATCTTAGCACATGCGATTCGCCTCTGTTAGATGTGAGCTGATAGTTGCTGTATACATCCGGATGACATAGAGATTAGGTCAACGTTGTCATAAGCTCATGACAGCGGCACAAGTGAGGCTGCGTTATTAATCTGAGCAAAGGCACTTTAACGATCGGAGTTATTTACAGAAGTCCTGATAGCCAAGCTGATGACTTCGTTCTAAATCACTTGAGGGCGTGGGGTAGTAGAAATAGGTGTCTGGTTGTTGGCGACTTTAATGCTCCACATATTAATTGGGGGAAATTAAACTCCACTAATTTCTATACCTGTTTCAATAGGGAGCTCACACTGACAGTGCTCGAATGTTCACTCGTGCAATATATGCATGCACCAACACGGTATCACCCGGAACATGATCCGTTTACTCTAAACTTGGTATTAACACACCAGAAGGAGGACGTTGGTAACACTAGGTGCCATCCGCCGCTTGGCAGCAGTGACCAGATAGTCATTGCTTTTACGTTTAAGATTCATTCTCTCATAAACAGGTCAAAATCTGCTCGTCCAAACATTTGGAAAGCGGATATACAGGGAATCCGGAACGCAGCAACTGCAGTTGACTGGTCAGTTGATACAAGTCGGACTGTCGAGGAAGCTTGGGTGGGATTTAGGAATACACTAGATTGTGTCACTTCACCTTTTATACCTTGGTACACTCCTCGAAAGCTATCGCATAAGCCACCTTGGATTACTAGTGAAATAAGGAGGCTATTAAGACGGAGGAAGAATTCATGGGACCAATTTATTATGACAGGAAGGGAAAATTTCCAGAAAGACTACCACAAAATTCGAAATCTCTGTATGTGATTAACAAGAGTCATATTGAGTACGAGAGACGATTAGTACTAGATTGTGTTCATTACCCAAAAAGGCTATACTCGTATATTAAACGTAGGACTAAAACTAGCAGTGGTATACCGTCACTCATAAGCATTAGTGGAGAAGAGGCTGAGTCAAGAAGGAAAGCCTGAAAACCTCTCTGAATACTTCTGTGACGTCTTCTCGTCTGATCGTATCACCCAGGGATATGGCGAGATCACTGCCGTCGCCACTCAGATGCCCTCAATTGTGGTAGAGCACACAAAGGTACTCAAACTACTGTCTAAACTGAAGCCAGGTAAATCACCTGGGCCTGATGGACTTCACCCTAAACTGTTAATTTCCTTGGCGGATATAATATATATTCTACTTACGGAGATTTTCCAAATGTCTCTGACCCAGGCTAAGCTACCCAGGGACTGGAAGGATGCCATTATAGGGCCTATCTTCAAAGACGGGGACAGGCAATTGGTATCTAACTACCGGCCGGTAAGTCTAACATGCATTATAGCAAAGGTATCGGAAACTATTATAAGGGATCAGCTATTAACCAATGTTGAAAAACATGGCTTGCTGGAGGTGGAACAGCATGGATTCCAACCAGGACGATCCTGCCTGACAAACCTACTATTGGCTTGGGATGACTGCGTTGAGGCCAGAGATAAAAACCTTCTGTTGGACGTGGTTTTTATCGATCTTAGCAAGGCATTCGATAAAGTATCCCACTTAGGTCTCTTTAATAAACTTAAAGGTTTCGGGCTAGATCAATGCCTGTGAATGATTCAGGGATTACCTAATAAATAGAAGGCAGAAGGTTAGAGTTAACGGTGTACTATCAGGGTGGAAAGCAGTATCCAGTGGAGTGCCTCAGGGAACTGTATTAGGCTCCTTGCTATTCCTATTATACGTTAATGAACTACCGGGGATTCTTACTTCATCTTCATTATTATTTGCGGACGACATTAAGATCTGGAAAACTGTAAATAATAACGAGGATAGGTCGGCCCTACAAACTGATCTAGATAAATTAGCTGAGTGGTCGAACCTTTGGAGTTCGGAAATGAATTCTCGGAAAAGTGCGGTAATGCACTTAAGTCTTATACGTCGTACTCCCTGGGGGACACAGAACTAGGAATCATTGTCAGTAATGATTTGAAAACAACTGCAAATTGCAATGCAGCCGCAGTTAAGGCTTTTCGAATGCTATGGGTACTTCGAAGAGCATGTTCCGAATACTCTACGCAACATACGTCAGGCCTCATCTAGAATACCGCATACAAGCGGTGAGTCCATGCCTCTAAAAGGAAGCACATATCCTGGAAAGAGTACAGAGAGTAGGAACGAAATTAGTTAGTGGTATCTCATACCTTCCTTATGATAGGAGGATGGAGCACTTAAATCTCTTCCCGTTATCATACCGAAGGAAGAGAGGCGACTTAATTTTAGCATACCGTATACTTAAGGGTGATTTAGGAACTGACCTTTCTAAACTTTTCTCTCCTCCTAGGATACATATACGGGGTCACCGCAATAAGGTGCTCAAACCGAGGACGATTAAAATACGTGCAGAATTTAGATTCTCTCACAGAGTGGTCAACGACTGGAACTCCTTACCTGATTCAGTAGTATCAGCTCCATCGGTGAAGGCTTTCAAAGAGAAGTTAGATCTCTGCAGAGATATATCTTGCAAGGATTAACACAGGCCACAAGAGCCTTCTATCCTTATCATCTGAATCTGAATCTGCAAGGGGATAATGGAAGCAGGCTGTTATCTAAAATGAACCAGGAAACCTTTTTGGATGAAATCTATTCCGTAAGTACTGATCAAATGTCCTATTATCACTGCTAAACACGATTCATTAACTACACTAAATATGAATGTTAGCTGGAGTCACAACATCTTGCCGTTACTAAATGTTTCGCGAACTAAACAGATGCTTACCTTTGTTGTGCTGAACTGCTAAGTGCTTTTCCAACAGCAGACATGATCTTCCCTGCTTGTGTCTTATCCTCAAGACTATACTGCTTCAAAAAACGTCCCATTTCGTTTTCAGCCTGTGACAAATCTAACCATTCATTAGACTAATTACCACAACATACAGCATATTGTCCTTTGGTAACGACCTAAAATACTATCGAGATCCCGACAAGTTGTTTGAACAGATTTTAAGAGCTGAAACGATAAATTATACAACATTTTACCTCCAACTTAGCATCCAGATCAGAATCAGAGGCCACTATATTCTCATCTTGTTTCCGACGCAATTTCGTTATTACCGCCTGTTTTGTAGTCCAGAAGGCATTTTTAAGTTTATGAGACTTTGAGTCATCCGTTTTTTGGATATAGCGGTCAAAACTGGCGTCGTAAAAACTATGTTACTCTGATAATAACAATGTATCCACGTACCTTGTCATTGATGAACCAACGCAAATTTTTAAATCCAGCGGCTAACAATATTGAGATTCAGAATCAAATTTCAGATTTATTGGTTGAGGATAAAAGGCTTGGGGTCTATGTTAATCCTTTTCTAGTAAATTTCTGTGGTCGTCCAAGTTTTCTTGAATGAATCAGTTGAGGTTGCAGACATCACTTCTTCTGGGAGTCGGTTCTAAGAGTTTACGACTCGTTGTGAGAACCAGTACTCAGCAGCAGTATGATTTCTTCTTGACTTTTGAACTCTCCTGCTATGTCCTCTAAAGTGTTCTGACCTGGTGGGAAGGAAGACAGAGAATAGGTCAGGTCCGTAGTCATTATTTAAAATTTTAAACATTGTGACTAAATTTCATCTATGTCTACGGTACGACAGGGAGAAGAAATTTAAACTGTCTAGTCTTTCCCCATATGATAAGTTAGTCATGTCGAGAATCATACGTGTTGCCTTCCTTTGGACGCTTTTTAGAATATGTGAGTCCCCTTTAAGACAAGGACTGGCTGTCTGGATACAGTTTTCCTGTATTAACCTCACCAGAGATGTGAAATAAGGAGGTAAACATATCTCTAGTGATTCTAGTGAAGGCTCGGCGAATTGCCCATAAGGATCTAAAACTACGTGTAGCCACCGCGCGACAGTTTACTGTAGTTTTTAAATCGTGACTAACTATGATACCTAAATCCAAATGAGTCTGAACTGATGGGAGGGGTATTCCTTCCAGTTCGTAGAAGTTGATGCCTGCTTGTCCGTTACGCATGGTTGCACATTTCTCTACATTAATAGGGAGCATCCATTCTCTGTACCACTCTGACAATTTGTTCAGGGCCTCTTGCGACGCGAACGTATCACTGTTGCCCTTCAGCTATCTCCAAATTTTTAAGTCACCTGCGTATAGGACCATATGGGAGTCAGTGAGCAGAGATAACTCATTGATATACAAAATAAATAGGGGAGGTCCGAGTACCGTGCCTTGTGGCGCTCCGCTACGCACAGCTGTCCAAGAGGACAGTTTCGAGTTGATCCTAACACTCTGACTCCTATCTATGAGGAATTCCCTAACCCAGTCTAATAAGCTGCCTTTGATACCAACACTTTCCAACTTCACGAGTAGTCTTTTGTGGGGAACTTTATCGAAGGCTTTGCTGAATTCTATGAAAACGACGTCAACGGGTCTTCTGTTGTCCCTTGATTTACACAGCTTTCTCTTGCATGAGAGGTTTCTTCGGAAGCCGCTCTGCATAACAAACTGTCGTTTCCTAGATATGCCATGACACTTTTTTGATGATTCTTTCCAGTGTCTAGATCAAAGTGCTGGTAGGACCAATAGTTCTGTGATTTGAAGGACTTTTTCTTAATCCTCCTTTGTGGATGGGGATTACTACGGCGTCTTTCCAGTCACGCGGCAACACCCCATTCAGGAGAGATAGCTTGAAGTTCATGACCAATGGACCGGTTATGTGATCTGATAGCCCCTTGAGAAGCCTTGGACGAAGATTATCACGACCCATTGATTTTTTTGCATCTGGTTTTAATAGGCAGTTGAGCATGATATCTTGGTAGACGTCAACGGAATCTATCCCACGCTCCTCTGGTGCAGCCAGAGCTGATCCTTTGGGGAGTAACGACTACTGCGTAAAGACTTGGGAGAAGTAGTTTGCCATTGATCTTCATCAACTGCGTCATTGTCAATAGTCAGATATGGGACTCCGTTGGATGTTTTATTCCTGAAGTTCATGTGCGGGAAATTTTTTAGGTTTCGCCTTTGCATTTTTGGCTAGAAGTGCTTCTAATTTCATTCTTGATTGGCTGGTTTCTGCAGTAGCTTTGTTCCTAGTAGTGTTATATAATTTCCTGATCTCAGGAGTCTCAGGTGTGACGAACAGGTTCAAACATTTGTGTTTGCGCCTGAGTAACTTACGAATCTCTCTGTTCATCCAAGGGGGGCAATGTTTCCGACCCCTTAGGACAGACCAAGGGATGAAGGGTTCAGTTACTTGGGCGTAAAGTTGTTTAAATTGGTTCCTTGTGGCTTCGACTTGGAACTCGGGGTTTATGTACCAGTTCACTGAGTTGGCTGCTGGGAAGATCGCATGCTAGTTTTATTCACAGTTATGACGCGCCCTAAAGCATTTAAGACGCTTTTGATATCACTATGTTCCCCATGCATAAACCGGAGTCAGTAATGATTAGGAATGCGCAGTATGTGGACAACAGGATAATCTACTCACTTCTTCTTTTTGACGAGAATTTCTTCGAAGCTATCTTCCATTTTATTCTTAAGTGAGGAACTTGAATGGATTCAAGTCTGACTCTAGTCAGCTGGTTACTGCCTTTCGTCTTCATCTTTGAATACCCTCATGAAGAATGGTGCTACGTTAACCTTGTTTTTTCAGCGCTAAGATGAGTCCCTTTGTTTCGTACGAAAGTTTACCGTTGCTATAGCAGTACCCGTTTTTATGTTTAACTGGACATTTGCTGCTGCGGTGGGTTGAGGGTAGTTAATATAGTTAAAAACCTTGTTATCGGTAAACTAAGGTTTTGCGTGACGATTTTATCATTTTATGAATAATCTAGTGTAACACAACTAGCAGCATTCACTCAGGGGAGGAAAGCAGAACGCGAGCTCCGTAGGGATATGTATTTTGTACAGTCTAAAAAAGCAGACTACGCGGGTTGAGCCCTTGCGAGCAATCAGTCTTTCTGTCATCACTGGCATCAAGTGTTGATAGAAGCCGTCGCTCCTCACCCACAGAATTGACTCTTGTGTACTTCCCTGAAGAGAAAATTGAAGAACGTTTTTAAATACTATATCTACGAAGGTCCCTATTTTGTTACAATAAATACCTGTCACCAATAACGTGGCCTTCGGTTACTACACAAATTTTGGCTGAATTCAAACAATTCAAACAAATTACACTGTGCCCATCGCCTTCACGTGTGCAAAGTGACCTTAAAGATATTTAATAATAATAATAACTTGCTTTATTCCAAAACAGTACATGTGATACACAATGGAATTCTCAGCATTTTTACTACAGTACTGCATCCAGTTAGTACATTATCAATAAATAGAATTCTACATAGATTGAGGAAACCACAGTTCATTATTACAACAATACATTGGCATGTCAGTAGCAAAGGTAAAGCTGAAGCAGTATTTGAAGGTGTTAGAAAAATGGGAGCTGTCTTATTAACTGGCGTAAGCGAGAGAAAGAAACAAAGCAGCACATAACGGAAATAGAAGAGAGAGAAAAGGAAAAGAAAGAAAATGTTGTACCTATTGATGATGTGAGTTTAAAGACGAGATCCAGTTGTACTACTGACTATTTAATGAATTATAGGTGTCACGCCTAATGCTTTCTTTATCACACAGAACACGAGCTAAGTAATGTATGGTTGAGTTTTTGTACTTGCTGGTGCGAGCATATAGTTTTCTATATTGGCTTCTGGTTTTAATCTATCACCTCGTCTCACGTACATAGGATGCAAGTGAATGATTATAAACACGCTTAATCTTTACGCGTATTATTTATCCTATTGATGACACCTGTAAACTGGCGTCCATTATGTATGAACAAATGAGAATATACTATCATTAAAACAGTTAATGCATGCCCATAAGCCTTCTGGGTTATATCAACATCCTTTCACAATAAACGAAACACTGCTCTATAATTTTTCAGAATCTTCACCAGTAAAATCACTCCTTCTATGTCAGCGGTCGGTCTACAACATCCCAAATAAGATGCTGACAGAATTTGGTCCCCGTAATAACTGATCATCAGAGATATACCACTGAACCTAACAGCATATTCGAAACCGACCTGAAGCTTCTCAGGCCTTCTCGGATTCATAACCGGATGAAGAGATGTGTAGCACAGCATTCTTTCCGGATGAGCATATATTCCAGCAAATTCTACAGTGTATCCTTTCGATAAATCTCTCACCATGACTTCTTTTTATCTGTTCAGCAGATCACAGCCTCAACAGAGACGTCTTCTGAGACACTCAAGTTTGATATTCGCTATTATGTAATTATCAGACAGATTAGGGTGATCGTCCTTCCTTATTAATGCTAGCTCATAGTGGCCGTCTACAGCTCTGGGCTAACGAGCAGCCATCTACAACGCCCTTTTGTCTTCTTTGGAATGGTTCCCTAACCTGCTATCTAGGGGGCTCGTGTTTACATGCACCCATTTCAGTTGAACAGTTTCACAGGAACTAGACCAAGATAAACTCTCCCGGCACTATTTCTTTTCAAGAAAGTGCCCTGAACTTGGGGCCCTATTATTGTTCTCCAGATGTAGCAAGGTGTGATGGCGCACGTTACATCCATCCAAATTACACATATTTCATGAGGGACACCATCTTGTAATATGGCCTAATTTAAGGTAAATATAAAGAACACATGACTTCCTGGTTGTTTGTCTCTTCTCAACGTTCATGCGTTTACTTTGAGACATCTCTCTAGGCCATGGGAACCCTTACACAAAATGCCACCTTCTGATTCCTCTAGAACACCCTCAGTCTGCCTTGTAATAGACCGTTCAACTACATTTCAGTGAGACACATAATACTGTTTCCTTGAAGCCCTCTTTTCACTGGTGTCTGCGTTACGCCTAAGCAACATTCCTTAACGTAATTGAGCAACTTCTGCATTTTCTTCCCCAAACTTCACCAGATCCTCAAACTCCCACTATCTACAGGCCACCGTAATTCTCTCAGCCATGTCAACGCACTTCGCTTGAATTTCGATAGGGAGATGGCTAATAACTTGTCCTAAACTTGTGGGAGAGTTCAAATCAGGAATGTATTCAGAGTCACTCAACGGGATATGAGCATTATAAAGTCTTGTCGCAAAGTCAGTGAGATCGTCTGCAGTCACCATAATGGGTTGAGAATCCCTTATAAGTTCATTGATAAGTGAACAAACAGTTGTGTTTTCCCCTTGAAACAAAAGGTACAGTGTTTGCATGGACCTTTCGAAGCCGAGGTCTTAAGGAAGTGTCACACGGGCTTCAGTTGCCC